TTGAATATTTGAAAAAAAACCTGATATCGTAATAACATTTAATATAATTGTGCCTTAATTAATTGATAAAACTTTCTTCAGTAACCTTCTCTTAAAGGATATTTTACTATTTTTTAAAATTAATAATGTTTTTTCTTAGTTAATTTTGCTCTAGCTAATCTGGGGTTTGTCATATAATATTATCCAGTTTAATTATTTTTCTCTCGGTTTGCTAGTTTAAAAAAATAATAACCATACTTTTTTAAGTAATGGTAGACATTTGGTTGAAAAAAATAATAAACAGACAATTAATAAACAGGCAACTAAAGTAATAAGAGAACTTTTAAAAATCGCTCCTTCAAAAAATATTTAGTTTAGAAATAAACCGTATTAATAATGTATTTCAACATATTTAGCATTAATTATAAGTTCTTCTGATGATAAATTTTGTATATAAAAATTACATAATATAAAATGTTTCCTATGTGGCCTTACCACGAGTAGGAAATATCGAGAAAAGGTTTTTAAAATGATTTACATTATTTTACTTGATAATAAAAACATTTTAAGTCAGAAATTAAGAAAAGCTCACTATGTGGGCCGTGATAGATAAAACACAGCCCTTCTTAAATATTAATTTAACTCTGTCTCCGTTTCCATTCAAAAATATTTAAGCGTCAATAAAATCGATCTAAAAACGAGGCTTTAGATCATTTTGGTATAAAAATTAAATTTCAAGCTTCACCAACTAGAATTCAAATTATCGATCATCTAGTGTACCTATCAACTACATGCAACTCACATGCAAGAGAATGTTGCCTATTCTCTTGCATGTAAGTCTTTCCGCATAGAATAATCCTGTGCAATATTTAACTAGCCTTAAACCATCCATTGATAAAGGCAACCAAAAACCAAACGCAAAGTTGCCTCAAGGCGCAATCCCATGTAAAGTCGGAAACTTTTCAATGCAGAGTTTGTTTAAATTTTAACAGGTGCATGTTTGTTCGTCGGTCGACTTTAACTTGCTAACCAGTCCGAAAGTAGTTTTCAAAGCTTTTCTGGTGCAAACAAATGCATTTAAAGTTTTGTTAGGGGAACATGTTAGAAGTTTAAAGGAAATAAAATTTGATGGTTTAGTTTTTGCTTTTATGGCTTTGGGTTTATCGTTGGAAACTCTTTCAGGCGTTATTATCACAAAATAAATATAAAACGAAAGTATTATTTCCATATTTTCACTGATGTTGAAGCAAACTCAGTTAGATGAGGGATGATGGAGAAAAACTATGATTCGAAGCGCAATATTCGGAATATTAAATATATCAGCATGTAAATGTGGAGCGATATCTTTTCAGTTCGGGAGAATCAAAAATAAAAGCCCATATAAAACCAAGCCACAAGGCACTTAACTCCTCGAGGGAGTCCTTCGTATCCAATCGGATTTTCCGCGAATCTCGAGCATAAATCTTTCGCCTTTTCCGCACCAGCGATTCCTTCGTGCGTCTGCTGTCGTCTCGGGACATCATTTACATTTGTTACACTTTTGTCTTCGTCCGGATGTTAGCGGACCATTATTTAAAAATGTCACTCTAATAGATCTACTCTTGTGTTAGGATATATTAGCACAATTATCCGGCAAATTGATGAAAGAACGGTAACATTACGATTTTTGTGCGATGAAAACTGTGTCCAAGAGCATCGTCATTGATAGCAGTTACAGGGTTGATACGACACAAAATTGAAATAAAGTTATAAACAAAATCACCTACAGAAAGTATAGATTAAATGTGTTGCCTTTAATATACAGGGTGAGCCAAAGTTGGTCTACTTCGAGAAAAGAAAGCAAATTAATGAAAAGTTTGCATACAAAATTATAAGCTTTGATTAAAATTGGTGCAAGTTTCCACTGGAAAACGTCCCGCTTTTATAATTTTTTGATAAAATGGGTATGATGTTAACAGACAATGCACACAGACTAGTGCTATTTTCCATATTAAAGACTATTCTAAGATTCATTACCAAAGTCTATTGCTCAAGAATATTCTGGAATTTCAAAATATGCCACAATCTAATAAAAACCTTGAATACGCAGCGTCTGGACGACTACGTTTTATTCGAATGATTTATTATCACTGGAACAGAGTTTTTGTCGTTTCCTCCAGTTTTTTGCACAAGACCTTTCCTATTCCATTGCTTACCGGTTTTAAGAGTTTTGTTCTATAGAATCCATTTTTCACAATAATAATAAAATGTGAAGTTATGTGTCTATTCTTGTCATAAAACCACTACAAACCAGATAAACGTAAGAATAAATGCACTAAAACAGAGGTCACAATAAATAGAGAAAAATGCAATTTTAGTAGACTTGCATGCCATAAAGTTTTAAATTATTCAACTCGATAAACATCAGAAAAGATGGCTATTTTCTGACTATATTCAAAAGTGTATTGGGTTTTTAAATATTCAGCTGATGTGTCTATTTTTGTCCTTCTGCTTAGACGCAAGTTTTATATCTACTAACCTAGAAAAACACAGTTTTGATCAATAGGCTCACTTGCAGAGTATGAGAAAAATATTGCACATTTTTTTCAAAAATTTTTAGAAGATATTAACAATAATTGAGGCGAAATACCCAAAAAGAAGTTTGTAAAAAAATATATTAGCAGTTGAAAATCGAATTTCAGCTTTGATAATAAATATTATTTGGAAATAGTACCATGTTTGATCGGTAGCCTATTGGAATACTTAAGCATTCGAAACGAAAAGAAACGCAACATCCATAAAATTACAAGAAATCACAAAGGAAATGGATATTTTGGCAAATATATGGAAACATTAAAAAGACTAGCCAGAAGCAATTACTGTTAATATGAAAGGGGATTATTAAAAAAACACTTTCTCCGTATAACCTGCAGAACCATCTACAATATAATTTTAAAGTTACCGTTGCCTAATAAAGAAACATTTTTTTTAATCACTGGAAGAGCATCTATGACAAATTGTTAAATAGCACTTTTGGGATTCATCCAATAAGTGAATTAAAAGTAGCTATTAGTAGATTTTCAATTGAAAAAGAGGTAGATTTGAACACTTGACTATACTATATACTGACCACTTTTGTCTTATGGAATGGAATGTTTTGTTGCCAATTTTGCCATCCATTTTTCAGACACAACATTAGTCCTTCCGTTAAAAACGTACGTTTTTCTATTGATGCTTGGATTTCTGATACTAAATATCCGATCTCATAAT